AAAAGGTTTGTTTGTTGTAGTACACACCCTAGAACGATGAAATCCACAAAACAAATTATGCCATCCGATTTCTACACTTCCAGCTTAAAGTTCTATATAGATTTTTATCGTACATAAGATCGTCCGATAACAGTTATATATCATTTTATATATACGGCCATAGTAACATTTTTTGTAAAAAAAAGTTTGTTGTTGTAGTACACACCCTAGAACGATGAAATCCGGAAAAAAATGTATGTCATCCGATTTCTACACTTCCAACTTGAAGTTCTATATAGGTTTTTATCGTGCACAAGATCGTCCGATAGCAGTTACATATCATTTTATATAAACGCCCATAATAACATTTTTTGTAAAAAAAAAGTTTGTTGTTGTAGTACACACCCTAGAACGATGAAATCCGGAAAAAAATGTATGGCATCAGATTTCTACACTTCCAACTTAAAGTCCTATATAGGTTTTTATCGTGCACAAGATCGTCCGATAGCAGTTATATATAATTTTATATATACTTCCATAATAACATTTTTTGTAAAAAAAAAGTTTGTTGTTGTAGTACACACCCTAGAACGATGAAATCCGGAAAAAAATTTATGCCATCCGAATTCTACACTTCCAACTTAAAGTTCTATATAGGTTTTTATCGTGCACGAGATCGTCCGATGGCAGTTATATATCATTTTATATATACGGCCATAGTAACATTTTTTGTAAAAAAAAGTTTGTTGTTGTAGTACACACCCTAGAACGATGAAATCCGGAAAAAAATGTATGCCATTCGATTTCTACACTTCCAACTTAAAGTTCTATATAGGTTTTTATCGTGCACAAGATCGTCCGATAGCAGTTATATATCATTTTATATATACGGCCATAGTAACATTTTTTGTAAAAAAAAAGTTTGTTGTTGTAGTACACACCTTAGAACGATGAAATCCGGAAAAAAATGTATGCCATCCGATTTCTACACTTCCAACTTAAAATTCTATATAGGTTTTTATCGTGCACAAGATCGTCCGATAGCAGTTATATATCATTTTATATATGCGGCCATAGTAACATTTTTTGTAAAAAAAAGTTTGTTGTTGTAGTACACACCCTAGAACGATGAAATCTGGTAAAAAATGTATGCCATCCGATTTCTACACTTCCAACTTAAAGTTCTATATAGGTTTTTATCGTGCACAAGATCGTCCGATAGCAGTTATATATCATTTTATATGTACGGCCATAGTAACATTTTTTGTCAAAAAAAAGTTTGTTATTGTAGTACACACCCTAGAACGATGAAATCCGGAAAAAAATGTTTGTCATCCGATTTCTACACTTCCGACTTAAAGTTCTATATAGGTTTTTATCGTGCACAAGATCGTCCGATAGCAGTTATATATCAATTTATATATACTTCCATAATAACATTTTTTGTAAAAAAAAGTTTGTTGTTGTAGTACACACCCTAGAACGATGAAATCCGGAAAAAAGTGTATGTCATCCGATTTCTACACTTCCAACTTAAAGTCCTATATAGGTTTTTATCGTGCACAAGATCGTCCGATAGCAGTTATATATCATTTTATATATACGGCCATAGTAACATTTTTTGTAAAAAAAAAGTTTGTTGTTGTAGTACACACCCTAGAACGATGAAATCCGGAAAAAAATGTATGTCATCCGATTTCTACACTTCCAACTTAAAGTTCTATATAGGTTTTTATCGTGCACAAGATCGTCCGATAGCAGTTATATATCATTTTATATATACGGCCATAGTAACATATTTTGTAAAAAAAAAGTTTGTTGTTGTAGTACGCACCCTAGAACGATGAAATCCGAAAAAAATGTATGCCATCCGATTTCTACACTTCCAACTTAAAGTTCTATATAGGTTTTTATCGTGCACAAGATCGTCCGATAGCAGTTATATATCATTTTATATATACGGCCATAGTAACATTTTTTGTAAAAAAAAGTTTGTTGTTGTAGTACACACCCTAGAACGATGAAATCCGGAAAAAAATGTATGTCATCCGATTTCTACACTTCCAACTTAAAGTTCTATATAGGTTTTTATCGTGCACAAGATCGTCCGATAGCAGTTATATATCATTTTATATATGCGGCCATAGTAACATTTTTTGTAAAAAAAAAGTTTGTTGTTGTAGTACACACCCTAGAACGATGAAATCTGGTAAAAAATGTATGCCATCCGATTTCTACACTTCCGACTTAAAGTTCTATATAGGTTTTTATCGTGCACAAGATCGTCCGATAGCAGTTATATATCAATTTATATATACTTCCATAATAACATTTTTTGTAAAAAAAAGTTTGTTGTTGTAGTACACACCCTAGAACGATGAAATCCGGAAAAAAGTGTATGTCATCCGATTTCTACACTTCCAACTTAAAGTCCTATATAGGTTTTTATCGTGCACAAGATCGTCCGATAGCAGTTATATATCATTTTATATATACGGCCATAGTAACATTTTTTGTAAAAAAAAAGTTTGTTGTTGTAGTACACACCCTAGAACGATGAAATCCGGAAAAAAATGTATGTCATCCGATTTCTACACTTCCAACTTAAAGTTCTATATAGGTTTTTATCGTGCACAAGATCGTCCGATAGCAGTTATATATCATTTTATATATACGGCCATAGTAACATATTTTGTAAAAAAAAAGTTTGTTGTTGTAGTACGCACCCTAGAACGATGAAATCCGGAAAAAAATGTATGCCATCCGATTTCTACACTTCCAACTTAAAGTTCTATATAGGTTTTTATCGTGCACAAGATCGTCCGATAGCAGTTATATATCATTTTATATATACGGCCATAGTAACATTTTTTGTAAAAAAAAGTTTGTTGTTGTAGTACACACCCTAGAACGATGAAATCCGGAAAAAAATGTATGTCATCCGATTTCTACACTTCCAACTTAAAGTTCTATATAGGTTTTTATCGTGCACAAGATCGTCCGATAGCAGTTATATATCATTTTATATATGCGGCCATAGTAACATTTTTTGTAAAAAAAAAGTTTGTTGTTGTAGTACACACCCTAGAACGATGAAATCTGGTAAAAAATGTATGCCATCCGATTTCTACACTTCCAACTTAAAGTTCTATATAGGTTTTTATCGTGCACAAGATCGTCCGATAGCAGTTATATATCATTTTATATGTACGGCCATAGTAACATTTTTTGTCAAAAAAAAGTTTGTTATTGTAGTACACACCCTAGAACGATGAAATCCGGAAAAAAATGTTTGTCATCCGATTTCTACACTTCCGACTTAAAGTTCTATATAGGTTTTTATCGTGCACAAGGTCGTTCGATAGCAGTTATATATCATTTTATATATACGGCCATAGTAACATTTTTTGTAAAAAAAAAGTTTGTTGTTGTAGTACACACCCTAGAACGATGAAATCTGGTAAAAAATGTATGCCATCCGATTTCTACACTTCCAACTTAAAGTTCTATATAGGTTTTTATCGTGCACAAGATCGTCCGATAGCAGTTATATATCATTTTATATGTACGGCCATAGTAACATTTTTTGTCAAAAAAAAGTTTGTTATTGTAGTACACACCCTAGAACGATGAAATCCGGAAAAAAATTTATGTCATCCGATTTCTACACTTCCAACTTAAAGTTCTATATAGGTTTTTATCGTGCACAAGGTCGTTCGATAGCAGTTATATATCATTTTATATATACGGCCATAGTAACATTTCTTGTAAAAAAAAAGTTTGCTGTTGTAGTACACACCCTAGAACGATGAAATCCGGAAAAAAATGTATGTCATCCGATTTCTACGCTTCCAACTTAAAGTTCTATATAGGTTTTTATCGTGCACAAGATCGTCCGATAGCAGTTATATATCAATTTATATATACGGCCATAGTAACATTTTTTGTAAAAAAAAGTTTGTTGTTGTAGTACACACCCTAGAACGATGAAATCCGGAAAAAAGTGTATGTCATCCGATTTCTACACGTCCAACTTAAAGTCCTATATAGGTTTTTATCGTGCACAAGATCGTCCGATAGCAGTTATATATCATTTTATATATACGGCCATAGTAACATTTTTGTAAAAAAAAAGTTTGTTGTTGTAGTACGCACCCTAGAACGATGAAATCCGGAAAAAAATGTATGCCATCCGATTTCTACACTTCCAACTTAAAGTTCTATATAGGTTTTTATCGTGCACAAGATCGTCCGATAGCAGTTATATATCATTTTATATATACGGCCATAGTAACATTTTTTGTAAAAAAAAGTTTGTTGTTGTAGTACACACCCTAGAACGATGAAATCCGGAAAAAAATGTATGCCATCCGATTTCTACACTTCCACTTTAAAGTTCTATATAGGTTTTTATCAAGCACAAGATCGTCCGATAGCATTTATATATCATTTTCTATATATGACCATAGTAACATTTTTTGATTGTTTTTTATTAAAAGGCATTCTGTAACGATATAATCCCAAATATATTTATATTTTATTAGATTTGTTCCTTTCCACATTTATATACATATTTTAATTGATCAAAAATAATTTTTTTAAAGTAAATCATAAAAATCAATTTTTTTTAATCTTTTCCACGTGCATAAACACACATTGAAAATGTAAATATTGAAAACGAGTTTTTGCGTCTTTTCCACGTGCACAAACACATTTTTGTAAACAAAAAAAACTCACCACACCAAAAAAAGTGTTTATTTTGATAAAACAGCTGTTATGGTTTGTTTTATTTTTCGTCGGGTTGTTTTCTTTATGTGCGTGTGTTCGTAAGTAAACAAATCGTTTATTTAAATACATTTTACGCGATTTTTTCATATAAAAACCGATTACTTGTGGAAATTTTAGATGATCGCATATACATAGATCACCTATAGGGCTAACTAGGAAATGGATTTGCCGTCGATTTTGAGCTATTCGTATTAATATTTTGTAAATCATAATCTTTCCAAAAGAATTCCAAATTTGTCTCATTAAAGTTTATTTAACATAACTCCAAAATATCACAATTCAATTAATAATTTGTATATTAGATAAAAATAATCATTTATAAAGAATCTTCATGCTTAAAAACATTTGCCAAAACAGGATCATTAACCAATTCCTTCATATTGTGGGCCACAATAAAATCTAAATGATTAAAAGATTGTTCAGGTACACGATAATCACCAGCCAAATAAGGGGTATTAGCAACCAAGGTATCAACATCTTTAGGATCACACAAAGCATCATTCTTACTCGAATACAAATAAGTGGGAGCCTTAATATTGGCTAAATTATAATCAGGAGCGACTTCTTGGCCATATATTTGTTTATTTTGTTTGGGACCATAATCCTTTTGACAGAAGCGACCCTTATTGTAATCACTCAATTGGATGTAATGGATACCTTGATTACTGGAAGCACCGCCGGGATGAGTTTCCACCAGAACTTGCATAGCCGTAACATTGGTATTGGTGTAACCATCACCGGCAAAAAGAAGCCACAAATTTTTACACAAGAACTTGAGAGCAGGATCGGTGCCACATGCGGTATCGGCAACGCCAGCAATTAAAGTATTCTGAGGCAATAATTCCAAATCCTGTAAAGCCTGATTCCAAATGCCGCCGGGTTTACCCACCAAAGGACGGAACACTTTGAAAGCATATGAAGTGCCATGTTCGAAGAAAGCACAGGGAGCTAACATATGAGCAGATTTGATTTTCATATTATATTCGGGACGTTCAGACATCATGACAAAGTATACGGTGGTGCCTTGTGAATGACCAGCATAATGGATCTGTTGTTCTCCCGTCTGCTCAATAATGTAATCAATCATGGTGGGTATATCAATTTTACCAATTTCATGCCAATCAAAATGCCAGAATTTGGGATTATTTAAGGAAATTTTGGTATTTTGGCGAGAATAAATATTACCGCGAGCATTACCCAACCAAACATCGAAGCCAGCATCGGCCATGAGATAGGCCAAAGCATAATCGGGACCAGTGGATAGCCAACAATCGGAATTACTGAAAAGACCGTGTTGCAAGAGTATAACCGGACGTTTAGCATTTTGATTTTGTAATTTATGCGAATAGGGTATGCGGAATAGATTGAGAACATAACCATCTTCGGTCTCAGCAAAATGCGACTCGGCGGGATAACCATGGGCACGTATACGTTCGTCCTTTAAATAAATGTAGCGGCAGTTTCAAAAAAGTTTGATATTTTTAAATATTTTGGTTAAACTTACCGTAGGGGTCATTTCTTTTAGCATACAACTGGGATCCAATTTAGCAGCTGAGGCTAAGGCCAATAGGCCTAATGTTATTATCACACCTAAATTTCTCATTTGGTTTGGATTTTTTAACGTTTGGAACGAATTTGTTTTGTTTTTAACGTTCTAGCCTGTATTTATACCCGTTCGTTTGGGTTATCTTTAAAAAATTATAATATTTTTATAAGAAGTTGGTTATCTGCAAATCGTAGTCAAGGGTTTTTGTTCTGATTTATTATTATTTGCGTGTGGTCTCTAATACCCTTAAGTAAGATGATGAATTTATTAGTTTTAAACATTATGTTTTTGATAACTACTTGATATATATGATTATGGGCCTTTCAAATGTTTTTAGTTTTAAGAACCGTTATAAATTTTAAAATATTTTACCCCCAACTATTTAAATATAATGTAATATATTGAATAACGTCGCAGCTACTTCACAAATTTTAAATAAATAATATTTTTCATGATTAGGAAACTATTTTTAAAAATTCCTAATTAAAGTTTCATTAAAATCAAAGTAAATTTGTTTTTTATTTAATTGTATAGGAATTTTTTGTATTATCAATATCACTTGCAAAAATTATCTATTAACAAAATCACAATTTTGATAATAAATTGATAATCACTTAAACTGACAAAAGTAAAAATGCAGAAAATAAACCAATTGTATAATTTAGATTGCCTAGTGTCTACTGATAATAAAATTTATTATAATTAATAATTTTTATAAAGATTTTATAAAATCGCATAATTTGTTAGTCCATCGCGACAAACTTACAGAATCTGTATACCCTACAGTGGAGATGGCATTCTTTTTATTAAACAAACTAGATATATAGATAGATAGATAGATAGATAGATAGATAGATAGATAGATAGATAGATAGATAGATAGATAGATAGATAGATAGATAGATAGATAGATAGATAGATATATAGATAGATAGATAGATAGATAGATAGATAGATAGATAGATAGATAGATAGATAGATAGATAGATAGATAGATAGATAGATAGATAGATAGATAGATAGCTAGATAGATAGATAGATAGATAGATAGATAGATAGATAGATAGATAGATAGATAGATAGATAGATAGATAGATAGATCGATAGATAGATAGATAGATAGATAGATAGATAGATAGATAGATAGATAGATAGATAGATAGATAGATAGATAGATAGATAGATAGATAGATAGATAGATAGATAGATAGATAGATAGATAGATAGATAGATAGATAGATAGATAGATAGATAGATAGATAGATAGATAGATAGATAGATAGATAGATATATAGATAGATAGATAGATAGATAGATAGATAGATAGATAGATAGATAGATAGATAGATAGATAGATAGATAGATAGATAGATAGATAGATAGATAGATAGATAGATAGATAGATAGATAGATAGATAGATAGATAGATAGATAGATAGATAGATAGATAGATAGATAGATAGATAGATAGATATATAGATAGATAGATAGATAGATAGATAGATAGATAGATAGATAGATAGATAGATAGATAGATAGATAGATAGATAGATAGATAGATAGATAGATAGATAGATAGGTAGATAGATAGATAGATAGATAGATAGATAGATAGATAGATAGATAGATAGATAGATAGATAGATAGATAGATAGATAGATAGATAGATAGATAGATAGATAGGTAGATAGATAGATAGATAGATAGATAGATAGATAGATAGATAGATAGATAGATAGATAGATAGATAGATAGATAGATAGATAGATAGATAGATAGATAGATAGATAGATAGATAGATAGATAGATAGATAGATAGATAGATAGATAGATAGATAGATAGATAGATAGATAGATAGATCGATAGATAGATAGATAGATAGATAGATAGATAGATAGATAGATAGATAGATAGATAGATAGATAGATAGATAGATAGATAGATAGATAGATAGATAGATAGATAGATAGATAGATAGATAGATAGATAGATAGATAGATAGATAGATAGATAGATAGATTAGATAGATAGATAGATAGATAGATAGATAGATAGATAGATAGATAGATAGATAGATAGATAGATAGATAGATAGATAGATAGATAGATAAGATAGATAGATAGATAGATAGATAGATAGATAGATAGATAGATAGATAGATAGATAGATAGATAGATAGATAGATAGATAGATAGATAGATAGATAGATAGATAGATAGATAGATAGATAGATAGATAGATAGACAAATAGATTACTTTTTACAGTTCCAATGCCAAAACCAACAAAAACTTCGAAATCCATTAAGATGAACTCTGACTAAAGACTATATTGTTAGGTATCACATATTAACACAGTTTTCCATCAAAATATGCTTTCATAATGAAAATTCATGTTCACTTTAATTTTTTTAAATCACAATTTCAGATAAATTTTAGCTCATTTAAATTTAGTTAAAATAACAGTAACTTTAACTCAAATACAACCCTGATAATGAATCAAATAAACGACTCTGTTTTTCTTTTATAACAACTCTGTTCTTCCTAACAGCTGCTAAAACTCTATTGTGAATGATTTTTATTTTAATAAATTTGCACTTGTTTTTCCTCCTTACCTTTTCATTAAATTTGTTAATTTTTGTATTAAATTCTTAAATAATCTCTACAAAAATGGCTTTATTAAGAAGAGCTGCTGCTCAGCTTTGGCAAACAAATTTATTAAATGCTAAACCCATAACAACAACAGCGGTACAACACATCAAGGAAAGTAAGTAACACAACAAAAGTTTCATAACCTTATGGCATGTTTATTTCATAAAAATTTCGTAAATTATTTTTTTCTAGTACAACAAAAAGTCGAAAAGGATACTTTAATTATTGAGGCCGTTACTAAGCCTTCACCCCGTGTTGATAAAATGTTGAAAGCTGCTTGTACGGAAAAATTCTGTCCCGAGTGCACTCTGGGCTTGGAACTCAAGCATACGGATGTTTTAATTTTATCACAATATGTGCGTTCAGATGGTTGTATGTTGCCCAAACGTATTACCGGCTTGTGTCATAGACAGCAGAAGAAAATTGGAACATTGGTGACTATGGCTCAAAAGGCAGGTTTAATGCCTAACTTGACACCGGAGAACAGTAAAAAAGATCCTAAAAAACGTTATGGCTGGAAAAAGTTTAATAAATATTTCGATGAAAAGACGATTAAATACTAAAAGAGTTAGTTGTTGAAAATGTTCAAAATAATAAATTTAATTAAAATATAAATCATTAACATTTATGTTAAGTTAATCAGAACTCACTGTTTACATTATTCATGATGTTTAGTAAACTTGTTTACATTTTGTTATTAACCGTTATTTGCTAAATGTATGTTTAAACAAGGATATAAAGAATGAATAATGACAGTTGTCACTTTTTTCGCTTTTGTTATTGACGCTTAAATAAAGGCGCTTTAAATAGTCTTTTTTAGAGTGTGAAAATATGAAAAAATATTGAAATAAATTGTTGAGCATTGTTTAAAATTAATAAAAGTTTTATAAATTGTGAAAGAAGTGTAGTTGTGTTATAAATATTGCGGATTTCTTGCAAGTAAGTTATTTTTTCTTATAAAATCTTAAATATAAAAAATGTAAGGTGCAACACATCACCCACCACGTTGGCGTCAAAAATATAGATCTAATACCCACCCTTAACACAATAATTGCACCATATCTGCGGAACGATCCAATTCATACTCTATCAAAGATTATCAATCCCGCGTTAGTAGTATCAAGCAGAAGCTTTTTTTCGAGGAAACAACTTTGTGTCACATAATACCCTAGTTAGTTACTTTCGAAAATCACTTAAATGCTCATAATTTCTTAAAAAAATCTTTGAGGATCGAACCATTTACATCGTAGTCCCCATATTAGTCCCAATTACAAAATCCATATTTATTAAGCTTATTTTAAGTATATATTTATTTTATTAACTTTTTGTTTAAATACAAAATATCAAGAGTCGAAGATAAACTATTATTTAGAATAAATGTACACATGCTTCTTCTTTAAAAACCCATAAAATTATGCTGCTCAAATAGTGCTCCAGGTGTACTGCCCGAATTTCTGCCAAAGTTTTGTGCAGCGTTCGACGATTGCTTTTCCAAATTGTGCATTTTCTGCATGTGTATTCGCAGTGTCGAACGTTGTGAGAATTCCTTAGAACAATGTTTACACTTAAAGGGTGTGGGATCTTTGTGTGTTTTCATGTGCTCCTGACAGGCGGTCTGCTGACGATAGGCCTTGCCGCATAAATCACAGCGAAATGGTTGTTCCTTGGTGTGTGTGCGCTCGTGATTGATTAAATGGATCTTTTGGTGAAATGCTTTGTCACAGTAAGAGCAGGAGAAGCGTTTTTCACCATGTTGCCGGACATGATATTGGAAACGCATTTGTGTGTAGTTTTCGAATTGTTGGTGACAAATGTGACAGGTGTAGGTAGATTTTAAATGGAAATTCTTGAAATGTCTTTGCAGATGCAGCTGGCTGCGGAAATACTTCTTGCACTCCTCACATTGCATGGTATCGGGACGATTGTGCTTGAGTTTATGTTGGGCCAAAAGAAAACTAGACTTGAAGGTGCTGGTGCAAATGTCACATTCAAAGGGTTTCTCCTGGGGATGAAAACGCATATGATGCATTTTGAGTTGTTGGCGATTTTGACAAGATTGACCACATATTTTACATTTCAAATAAGAGTGCAATTTTTTCTTTTGTTGTTTAAATTTGAAATCCTGCAAGGACTCTTCATCTGAAGAAGAGGAGTCTTCCGTTTCTTCATCTTCATCTGTGGTAGGGGTAGAAGATTCTTCATCCGAAGAATTATTGGGAGATCTTATAGTATATTCCTTTTTTAAAGGTTCCTGATAGGGTAATTCAGATTCAGCTTTCATCACTTCCATAGTTTCCATATCTATGGGTTCTGTTTTGATTTCCTCAAATAGGGGAGGTGGTGTACCCATAGAGGAGGAGGTATCTAAACAATTACCTAGTTCGACAAAACGGGGACTTAGTCTCAAGCGTGGACTACTAAAGGGGGACATAACATCTTGTGTACAACACTTAGGGGAAGATCTAGCTGAGTCCTTGCCTAATACCAAATCTTCCTTGGTGTCCAATTCCAATTTCACCAAGTCTGCAACTGGAGATAGTTTGCCCACTTCCAGTAGATTTTCAAAGTCCAAGAAGTAACTTTGCAATACCCTTTGACTGTCCAGACATTCTTCACGAAATGCTTTTACCTGTTTAAAACGCTGAAAGCACTCCTCACACAATTGTTGAGGCAAACCATCAAATGGTTTAATCTAATTGAAAATAAACAACTAAAATATTTGTTAATGATTTTTAGGCCACACCCTACTTACATTCAATTTCCATATATTTAAGTCCTCTAATATATCCCTAATCTCCTCGCAGGTCTCATAAACTTTGCTGTCTTTTAGGTCACCTACTGTCTGCATGCCATTGCCATCAACCACTGCACCACCACCGCCCTCATTTGTTGTCGTAGATTTTAATTTTTCCTCAAATATTTTATAGAATTTCACATCTTCGCTAAAAAATCGGCTACATGTTCGACATGTAGTGTCTAGGAATAGATTTTTGTCGATGCCTAAATCAAAAGCCATCGTGGAAAATTATTTTTCCCGTTTTTGTAGCCTGACAAAATGACTTTTTTGTATGCAATTAAATTATTGGTTTCTTTTTTCCATTCACTTTTTATTTAATACTACCAGATCGTAAAATGGTTTTACTTTTTTTTGTTTATTTTTTTACACAGTTACCGTTTTAAATATCTGGCTTCACTAAAACACACAGCTGTTTTTTGTTTACTACTTTTTTGTAGGGGTTTTTTGTTTTTGGTGAGAAATTCCCATTCAATTAATACAGGGTTGTATATACTTTACATGTTCAAGAGTGGGGTAAATTGTTTGGTGAAAAAAGAACCGTTACATTATTAATTTTGGGATACAATTAAGAATTAGTTAAAAAAAAAACAAAAATAATCATATCTGTATAAAATTTTACAGTAAAATGTAGTGTACACACCCAAATTATTCAGCTTATTTTTTCCCGACAAGAACATTTTATTTTGTCGTCATATTATATAGAACCGGACGGAATCCTTTTGTTATTGCTATAAATTCAGATGTAGTACCTCTGGAGTACTCTTAAATCACCTTTTGGTACCTTAGTAGATTGCTGATATTTGAAAAGTTGCACGTATTATCCACATTGGAAAATGGTACAAACTCGAATCATTTGCAGGGAAAGTTTTTGAATACCTTTAGTGGAAAGATCGATCAGATCTATTCAGTATGTTAATTTCCTCAACAATTCATCTCCTTCTGGAGCTTGTTATCAGTTCTCCTCATTTAGTACCAAGGGACACGGGACCTTAGCACAGCTCTTGGTGGAGCTCTTCTTGGCCGAATCAAAAGGTGCTGTTTAAGGGGTGTGGCTGAGCGATCTAATATATATCCCCTTTTTAATGGTTTCTGATAGCGTAATTCAGATTTGGCTTTCATTACTTCCATGCTTTCCATATCTATGGGGTTCTGATTTTATTTCCTCTTCTATGGTGTACCCATAGAGGAGGAGGTACCTAGACAACTAGCTAGTTCGTTAAAACGGGCACTTAGTCTCAAGCGTGGACTGCTAAAGGCGGATATAACATCTTGTGTATAACATTTAGGGGAAGATCTAGCCGAGTCTGCAGCTGGATATAGTTTGTCCACTTCCAATAGATTTTCGAAGTCTATGAAGTAACTTTGAAATACCCTTTTACTGTCCAGACATTATTAGCGAATTCGGCAGAGAACACTGGCGATATGCTGGAGCATGGTTCAAATAATATTTCTACAAATATGTACAGACGTATGTTTGTATTTGATGTAGAGTATCAAACCAAGTATTTCTTCACCAATTCATGTCCTCCTGTACCTTGATCCTTATCTGGTACCATGGGATCCAACAGGTATGGCAATTTCTCAAAAGTAGTTTAACAGTCTGCGGTTTGATATGGGCCATAGTTAGATGGACTTTGGGTACGGTCTCTGGCGTCATGCTGGAGCATGGCCTAAACAACATTTCAATACCAAATATGTATGTTTGTATCCGATGTAAAGTTTCATACTTTTTATTTTACTTCCTTTAAAAACAATCACTTTGTGGCGGAAATGTCATTAATTTAAATTTGATTTTCTACAACTTTTGGACGATTGTTTATACAAAAAAAAACTTATAACTATTGCTTATTTTGGCCTGAGTAGTCCTTTGAAATAAGACAACAAAACCATAAACTAAAAAATGCTTTGCCAGCATATTATATTAAATTTTTTAAAAAAAGTTATGCTTATCTTACAGTTACTCTGTGATTATCCTTGAAAAGGATGTTCAAAGTAGATGAATAAAAAAAAAACAAAAAACTTTAAGACACAACTAAAAACCACAAAAGGAGTACATAAACTTTATTTTTTGTCTTATTTTTTGCAAATGTTTTGCTGTCGCTCTTGTAATTTTGACTTGTGCCTTGAAAGAAAAAGTGTGCAAAAAACTAAATCAAGTTATTGCCATAGAACTAAAAAAAACAACAGGATAAATAACGCTCTGGACTAGCTAAGATGATGGCAAAGAAATGCACAAGATGCAAAACAAAAAGACAAAGCAACAAAAAAGATGGACAGTTATGAACACAGCAATGAAATAAATGAAATCCAACGGATGTTGGAATAGTTAGTTAAATGTAAAAGTTTATGTTATAAATACACTGAGAGAGATTTTTGAAGCTACTTTAACAATTTTCCCTTTAAAAAACTAGATTTTAAGATTCTTTCCTTTATTTCTCTAAGTGTAAACTACAGCAACAGCATTTTCTTTAAAATTTTCTAAATCTAACAGACAAAGTGACGGCCAAGCAATTGCTCCACCTAGAGGTCTTTTTCTTTAAACACACACTCACTCACTCACTTATTTTTCTTATAATAACCACAACAAGACAAGGCGTCTGTCTGTAAAATACTCCTTACCAGACAATGTCTTGTACTAGTGTTTTTTTCTTTTTCGGAAACATAACACGAATACAATGTTGTGTTTGTTTTTCAGTGATGGCCTGGAAAATGATGAAACCTTCAACGATGTAGAAAATTATATCTATATACATAAATAATATAATTTAACTTGTTGTTGCCGGGTTGTTTTCTTATAAAAAAAAGAGGAAATGAAGAAAAAAATCGAAAATTTCTTAAACGAAGTTCTTGACGTCCAGTTTAATGACGATGATGATAAGGTTGCTGATGATTATGATACTGTAATGTTTGGAAAACACTACCATACTGTGATGGGTATTATATATACTAAAATAAACTTTTAGTTCTAGATTTGATGAAAGGGGTCATTATCGTCCTAATTAGATGCTATTTTACCCGTAAAGTTTAAGTTTCAAACCCACTCTTCTATTCTCCGACAGACCAGAGGTGCCTCCTTGGG